GCCCCGCCGTGAAGCGACGGGGGGAGGCTGCTGGCGGATAAACGCCGGGTGTCCTCTCCCCCGGCCTGGCAGGAGCCGGAATTTGGGCCCTCGGGGTGCCAGAGCGTGGTCTGGAAGGCCGTCAGAGCTGGGGGTGGAGGGGGTGTTTAGTCACCGTTCTGGTACTCCGAGATGACTCTTGGTATTACCCAGGTTGCTCTTAGCAATCTTTTACGCTTACTACTGTTTCTTACCTGGTACAGCTCGTCCTGCTTCTTACATATCCCGTATTAAAACTGGCAAAATTCGTGTAGGTTTTACGCGTTATTTTTAGATGCAGCAGCTGTCGCCTGGTAGATGAGATGGTGTCTTCCCATGCTCTCTTCTGCTCGTCCTCCATTGAGCTGATTGTACGTAGCCCTACAGTTCACTTCTGTAACGTGATAGAAATGAGGTTCAGTCTCTACCTAGTGTCAGAAATAAAGTTTGTAAAGTGGCCACCCTTTGTCAGAAAGAGCAGGAATATAACTGGATGTCTTGGATGCATTAAATCAAACTATTCTGAGCAGGACAATACACCTATAGTATTTTAAATTGCCTGTACTTCATTATTTGATTGAATTGGGGGTAGGTGACTATGTTGTATGAAGTAGCACCGTAACTAGCATTCTCTAGTTATTTAATTGTTGTAACATACTTATAACATGGAAAAATATTATTGAAGTTACCCACTGGGATAGAGGCTGAACGCATTAATTCTCCAAGTGTGATTTGTGTGTAAGCTGTTAAATCAAATTCTCTGTTGTATTACAGAGTGATACCCATTTCTATTTCATCAGAGATTTTAGAGGTTTTGATATGCATCAAATAGTCTTCAGAAACCAGCAGACTGAGCTAAGTATCAGTTCTTAATGAGTGATCTGTTGTCAGTTGCTGTGTTGACTTTTCAACCTTTTTGAATGAAAGAGACAAAAAACCAGAAGCACAATGTCCATATCCAGTGTCTTTCTCAATTTGTTGTAAGATGTGTCTATGCAGGTGGGTGCAGAGAGACCCGTGCTTGAAGCTTGTTGGATGTAAACACTCTTGTCTGGGAAACCAGATAGCATTAGCAGAGGACCAAACTAATGAAACTAATGGGTCTCATTTCTGAGCCAGGGCTGGCAGCTGACTAAACATGAAGAGAGCTAGGTTGCCTCTCTTTGTGTGTGTCCATGTAGCCGTGTCCTTTCTGTGTATGTTACAGTTTAGTGGTAGGAGGTTGGTAGCGTGGGGTGGTTTTTTTTTTTTTTAAATTTGTGGTGGTTGTTTTGTTTTGTATTTTTTAATAATAGTTGCAAGATATCTGCAACTTCCAGTTTGTTGTGTATATCCGTATCTTTATTAGCTTAGCAGTATACCTGTGAAAATGACATCAAATAACTTCAGACTTCATTAACTTCAAGCTTGTTAAGTGAACATACTAATGATCCCATGGATCAATTTCAAAACAGCAGGCGTGGCAAAATCTTAGTGTTGCAGAAAATTCTCCCATGGCAGGAAAATCAAAGAGAAAAGCTTCTGAATTCAGCTTACCTTGAACTACACTACATACCATGGGTTTCTAATGTCTGTGTTACTCTTATTGCAGTTCCAAGAAACTATGACCCTGTATTGCATCCATTTGAAGTTCCACGAGAGTACACAAGAGCTCTGAATGCAACAAAGCTAGAACGTGTGTTTGCAAAACCCTTTCTTAGCTCACTTGATGGCCACAGAGATGGAGTTAATTGCATGGCCAAACATCCAAAGAGTTTGTCTACAGTGTTGTCTGGAGCTTGTGATGGAGAGGTAAGCTGCAGTTACTAACAGCAAAGGTACCTTTCTTCCTTCTTTTCTTTTTTTCTTCCTCTTTTGTATTTTTTCTTTTTTTTAAATACACCCTGCTTACTTTTCTCTTGTGTCTTTGTTCAGCATGATACCCTATTGTCTCTCACAAGGTGCAACTCTGCCCACTTTGTGGTAGTGTTTCTCAAACTGCAGGTTGTAACCTCCTGGCATGCAAAAGGTTTCAAAAATCGTTAGGCAGCGGCTTTTAGCTGTTCAGTTGTGAGGAGAGGGTGTGATATTCAGTTCCTCAGGATGGAGCAGTGATTAATATTTACAGTCCATAGTGATTGCTTTTTGCTGCCCATGCGATCCCCTTCCTCCCCTTGGAGAAGTTAAACCGCTGCAGGTTCAGAAGATCACGTGAAGTCAGATGAGCTAGGGGGAAGGAGCATGCAACCAGAAACTCTGTGGAATAATAATTTAGCATATTGCCTAAAAAAATGCTAACTCCATATTTGTTTGATTATTTTACATTAATATTACAAAAAGCAAGCAAGAACACTTTAATTGGAGTCAGCTGCAGAAAAAAAAAATTGCCTGTCTTTTCTGTCCTCTCTCACCCTTACGTTGCTCCTTTGATAGTACTTGTATATTTTAAAGGTGTCTTCTGGGTAACTGGTTGCTTTCTGCTTTTTATAGAAGGTGCTTATGTCATGCCGTAGTGTAAGGGAGATTAACCTTTTCAAAGAGGAGGGGAATAAATTGATATGAAATGTTAACCTGATTTCTTACTGTGGAGCGAGTAAAGTACTGTGTACTATAAATCCATGCAATTATAAAAACTGACTTCCATTTCTTTGTTTTTTAAATGCGCCCAAATGCTTTGAAACCAAAACCTCTGTGAGAGTTGGACATCTATATAAAACGTAGTACAGAAACTGGACTGAAAACATTCTGTTTGTTCCAAAGGCTATTTCCTTGTTCTTTTCTCTTTAGAGGGGTATATTTTGCTAAAATTATCACTGCTGCTGTTTCTTAGCAAGAATTCTAGCTAAAAAACAGGGAATGCAAAAATACAGTAAGTGTACAGCTTGCGGGGGCGAAGGGTTAAGAAGGAAAGAGCTGCACTTTTAAAACTCCTTTTCAGTAGAGGAATAAATAAATAGTTTTGACGTTATAAAATCTGACTGGTGTTCAAGCCAGCTACACCACTTCGTTACAACATGTGTGATCTCTTATACTTACATATGAACTGCAGTTGTGGGCTGTAGAAAACTTAAATAACATAATACTTTTCTGGTTTTAACAGGTTAAAATTTGGAACTTGACCAAACGACAGTGTATTCGTACTATACAAGCCCATGAAGGCTTTGTTCGAGGCATGTGTGCGCGTTTCTGTGGTACATCATTCTTCACTGTAAGTATAATGTGTCTCCTTTGTACAGTGTATCAGTACAGAGTGCCTGTTCACCATCTGTTTTCCAGTCCGCAATTTACTCTCTGCCATACAATATTTAAATATTGTATGAATACGTTTATTAAATTTGTCAGTGAACCTGACAATTCTGTTTCTGATGAAATTTTTTTGATGCTGTGATATGGATATTATTCAAGACTATGGAAGGGATAAATACCAGGAAATTGCTAACAGATGGTCATATAATTAAAACTTGAGTAAACTAGTTTTCATTAAAGTAGTAGATAGATTACGTTCATTGAAAGATGTACAAACACTTAGAAAAGTAACCATTTGTGTATATTATGATTAAAGATAAGCGGATTAAGTCAAGATGGTTCCATGTTAATTAAGCTTTATTAACTTAAAACAACCACAACTGATCTAGTTGCACGTAAACCGTCTGGAAATAATATATCTTCCTGATTGCATTAAAACAATTCCAAGATAATACAAGAAAAATAATTGGTTTTGAAGACTAGAGTTTCCTGCGGTTTGGCTGCTTTTGAGCTGGGCGTAAATAGACAGTAGCGAAAATAGCTCTTTTATCTCTTCTGAAGTACATACCAGGTCATGAGGACAGTAGTTAGGATGTAGGGGAAGTCATAGCAAAAAATTCTAATGGCTTCAAATTAGAATACCGTTTAGACAATCCCTCTGCCTGAAAATTGAGAGAGAGGAAGAAGAAAGAGAAGCAGGGCTGTCAGGACAGGAAGTTAAACTTGTATGGCTAATATTTTTTGGCCAGTTTGCCTGATGCAAGTCACTGCACAGCCATGCAAAAGCTTGTGCTGGCATAGTGCGAGAGGTAGCGTGGAGTCAGGAACAGGCAACTGGAGCAACTGAGGTGGAAAGTGCATTTTAACTGTTTAGTTGCTCATCAAAATGACATCCAGAAGACAAGTTGGAACATAGGAAGTTCTGTTCCAATACACGGAAAAACTTCTTTACGGTGAGGGTGACAGAGCACTGGCACAGGCTGCCCAGGGAGGTTGTGGAGTCCCCTTCTCTGGAGATTTTCAAGACCCCCCTGGATGCAGTCCTGAGTAATGTGCTCTGGGCAATCCTGCTTTAGCAGGGGAGTTGGACTAGATGATCTCTAGAGGTCCCTTCCAACTCTGAAAATTCTGTGATTCTGTGATTTGCAGTTTAAGGTGCCATTTGATTAAGAATCACAAAATGTAGCCTAAAAAAATAGTCACCATTCCAGCTTACCCTTTTCCTACTTGACCCTGGAAGTATCTCTTCTGAAAACTGGAAAAGATTTGTGGATCGAGATAAAGACAGTTGAATAGGTGAAGGAAAGGTGGTGGCTGGGGGGGAAACAGTGACAAACAGGGAATTGGTCACCTCCTTTTCACAAGCAGACAGTCTCTGAGCAGCAGCCACTTTGGAAACCAACCCCCACCTCCCCTTTCTTCTTCCTCTACCCCAACTCTGATTGCTGGGCATGATGTTATATGGTATAGAATACTCCTTTGGCCAATTCAGGTCATCTGTCGCTCCTGTGTCCCCTCCCAGTCTATTGCCCATATGGGGGAAGCAGGGATGATGACAGACAGAGCTGGGTCCAGCAGGGGAATGTCTTGACACTGTGCAAGCACTGTTCAGCAGTAGCCAAGGCATTGGTACCTTATCAGCACTGTTTTAGCCACAAATCCAAAACACAATGCTATATTGGCTGCTATGAAGAATGTTAACTCCGTTCCAGCCATATGAAGTACATATACCTTCTCAGTTTCTTGTGAAATATTATGATGAGGATAACTAATCTTCAGCTTGGCGGTATAAAAGGGAGCAGTGAATAGGCAGGAAAGAGCACTTTACTTCTGTGTATGTCATAGATCATTCTCTTTTGAAAGGCTGCCTGTACTTAATTGTAAAGCACATCTAATAAAATAAACAGAATATATTTATGTAAAACTGTACATACTTTCTCCAATATTTGCAGGTTGGTGATGACAAAACTGTGAAGCAGTGGAAAATGGAGAGCCCAGAATATGGAGAAGAAGAAGAACCTATTCATACAATTCTTGGAAAGGTAGTAAATCTAAGTTTTGATTTTTCTCACGTCTCTTCTTTTGAATTAAATTTGAACCAATTCTTATCTAGCTTTTGGAGGAGAGAGAAATGGTTTGATATCACCTGTTATCATAATGGGTTGTAAGGTGATGGCATCAAATTTTATAATGGCGTTTTAAAAGTATCTTCACGTTTTTGTTACATTTATTTCACATGTGTCCAGAAAGGAATCTCTCAAATGTCATCAGAGACTACTTAGATCTGTCTCTACTAATCATCCCTTTCCTGTGATCTGGTCAGATCTTTCTGTAGTCTCCTTCTGTTCAGACGTGTGTTGTCAGTGCTTAGTCTGCATTAAATAACTTTCTTTTCATGCCAATACCTCAGAGCCATTCAATAAAAAAAATTAACTTTACGTCTGTCTTTTTGACAAAAGCAGCCTAAAAATAGATACTTCAACACTTTCAATTTATGATGAGCTTATTTTAAGAACAACATTAAATGCTTTTTGCAAACAGATAGTTTGAAACTCTTTAATTATTGTAATGTCTATGGAATCTGTTCAGGTCCCCATTGAAAATTCGTAGTTGTACCCTTAAAATTTCCTTTTGCTTTAAAGTCAACCAAGACTTTGTAAATGGGCTTCTAATGCTGACTGCATTGTAAATTAACAAGAAGTGCATGCATGCTCATTAAGTGAGTACACAGAAAGCTAGTCTATTGTGTAAGGGTGCATCTGATAAGACTTAGTTTCTGGTAACAGTGGTGACTTGGTTTTCAGTAATATGAGTGAATAAAAACATGGCAGACTTGATATGCAATGATTTGTTGATCTTTTTTGTAACAGAACTTACTTCTGTGTTTGTTTATACAAATGGTTTTGTAAATTTGTGTTTGGTTTTTTTTGTTGATTTTTTTTTTTTTTTCCCCCCCTTTTAAAGACAGTGTATACAGGAATTGATCACCACTGGAAGGAAGCTGTTTTTGCCACCTGTGGCCATCAAGTGGACATTTGGGATGAGCAAAGGACAAGTCCCATGTGTTCTTTGACATGGGGTTTTGATAGCATAAGCAGTGTAAAATTTAATCCCATCGAGGTAATGCTTCTGTTAAATACTGATCAAGAAAAATATTGATTTCCATATAAGATCTAAACTCTATTAACACAATCTTTAATGGCTTTATCCAAATTTGGATTTTGATATGTTTTAACGTAATATTTAGGGAGGTTTATACATATAATTTTTATTTATGGCTGTGTTGCTTTGGAGTGTAGTACCATGTATTTTCATCTTTTTATCTTTTTTTCTCTGACAATGGGGGAGAGGAGAAAGAAAAATAGGGTGGTCTCCATTCTGCCCACAGCAGTACATATCCCGTACCTCAGTTGTACAGTGTACCGGTTATGTGGCTGTGAAGTTCTCATCTGTTCCAGTACTGTACTCTTTGTGACCAAGGCTTCTCCCCCTCTCCATGGCAAAACAATTGTATGTGATCTTCTACAGCAGTTCCTATATACCTCTTGGCTGGGCTGTGTTCATCGATGAAGTGTTTATGAGGAACTGCTTGTTACTTTTGAAGTAGAGAGGACTAGGTGGATTCAGAATCTTACAGGGGAAGCTATTAAAAATGTTCATGCTGAATAATTAGCTGCACAGACAGAACAATGAATGTATTTCCTTGACTGAAAAAGGAACTATTTGACTACCAGCTTTGTGAAATAGCTTAGGTATCTAATGTAAGCTGTTAATCATACTCTAGAAGTGTTTAGAAGACCCTGCACACTGTTTTCTGTGTTTGTTTTTTTTGTTTTGTTTTTTAGACATACCTTTTGGGAAGCTGTGCTTCTGACAGAAATATTGTGCTATATGATATGAGAAAATCGACTCCATTAAAGAAGGTAATCTTTTTAACAGAATCTTATGGCACTAATAATTGTACTGAATATGTAAATAGTCTGTAACTGTTGATGACAATAGAGAAAGGGAAGCTCTGAACTGTGAGTTCACTGAGTTTTCATTGTCTAATTTTGAGTCTTTCAACTGAGTTTGAATTAATGTTGGGATTTAAACCATGTGGACTTAAAGGGCCCTTTTCTGCATTCAAACGGGCTGTCACGCTTACTCTGTTGTAATTCTTGATTAAAGTGCCTGACCTGACAGCAATTTCACAATAAGAACTTTATGTTCTATATTGCGTTCTGTCTGTGTATGTGTGATTTTCTTTTTATTATCATTATTTTTTTCTCCTCCATGCCAGAAGCAAACAAGGTAACTTCTAAGGCATTTCCTTTCCACTATTGGAGAGCCTTGCTCTGCATTTGAGAAGGTGTTTTTCTTTTGCATGGAGACAAATGCCCCTCCCTGCCCCTGCACCTAGTATAAACATTCAGAAATCCTTTGCAGTGGAATCAAAATTGTATTTATACGTGGAATTTACCAATTACATGACGATTCCTATTTATTTTTAAGAGAATGTATGTATTTACTTAAAACAAGAAGCCAGTATTTCATACGCACATATTAACCTTGATCAAGTTCGGTGGATTTGAGTTCCAGAACTATCTTAACAATTTTCTTCTTGAAATACGAGATTCTGGCTTGTGAATACACACTCAGTATCCTTCTGGTATGTTACGTACTGTCTGCAATGACACTGTTATGATATATTCTAGAACACTATAATGGTACTTAGCTTAGTTATAAAATAGGAATATTGTTGGTATAGCAGTATTTATTTCTCTCCCTGTGCCACCACTATTTTTAATGACATTTCATTTCAGCCGCTGAGACAGTGCTTATAAAGAAATTGTCAGTGATGCTAGTTGGGGACCTGAATGTTGAACACTGCCAGTGCTGTAGATCTGCAGTTACAAGTTTAAAGGATGTAGTTTGAGCCTCTGTGAACCAAGTTTGAAGCGAACAGAATTTTACATATGTATATATGCTAAATATATAAAAGTACATGTGCATATATACACGTGTGCACATATGTATATATATGCGTATCTCATGTAGTAAGCAGCATGCTTAGGTGCATTTCCTGCTATAGGAGTAACACGCTGATGGATAATTCCGTACATCATTGGATATAGTGCTGGGTTTCCTGCTGGGATAAGGATGATTCTCCTGCGGAGAGGCAGGTTGAGTGTCCATTTCTGCATAGAGAGCTAAGAGCTTTGTAACTCCCCAGAGAAGGGCCCTGCTTATTAGAGGTACTTTACCTGTGTATGGGCACTGGCTCCTAGCACTGCTGGGTTCCTGGTGTTTGATCAGCAAAGCAGCTCACCCACTGCCCTGAGTTTGGAACTCGGTGGGAGTCCCTTCCGTAGCAGAAATAGGAGTACAACTTTACACATCATGAAGCTGTAGCTGTGTTGCCCATTTGTCCTGTCTGTGAGTTTCATAGTCTTAAGTTTCAAGGAGGAACAGATTAGATGGTGAGATGCTGCCTAAGTGCAAAATAAGAACTAGTCTAAAAAAGCTGGGAAAAGTTGAAGGAAAGCACTCCTATTGCATGACAAGAGGAAGATGTTTTAATCGAAGTTGATACACTTTAAAACTAAAAGTCGTTCTTGTGCACCCTGTGGGATTGCAGGAAAGCTTAGTGTGTTTTAAACATAGACTTCAGCATTTAAACAGCTGGCAGGAACTGTGTTGCCGGTCATTTGTAACATGCTTAGGTAGGTAGTAAAGGAGAACAGATTGACACAAAACTGGATCGCACAAAAAATTAATCTCAAAATCTCTGGGCTGACACTCTTTGTAAGGAAGTGCTCACAGTTAAAGTAAGCAAACCAAGACAGCCAAGTCTTCGGGGGCTTCACAACTTTGACTTGTCTTAATATGGACTTTTTCTTATGAAATGCCTAAGCTTATCTACAGTTGATTAAAAAAGTGTCAGGAGATGGCTCTGCTAAAGGTTTAGATTGTTCTGCAATGCCATTATTGACGTCTTTACAGCAGCTTAAATGACTTCCAGCCCAAGTTGCCTTACATAGTTGTTACTGAATATAATGTTAGAACTGTACAGAGGATCCTTTTCTTAGGCACTATTTTAATTCCAAATACCGCTGCTGGAATCAACTGAATGCTTGTAAATTTGGGTGAAAAAATAGTGATGCAAGATGCGGAGCATGGACTTTAACCAAACCTGACCCCTTTTGAAAAAAATCTGGGTTTTTCAGCAGTATCAGAGTTATATTGTAGCATGATTTAACACATTACATGTGTAGTAACTATTTGAACATTTGTCATGTACTCATTTTGCAATGGCTGAAAAACTTTGACAGGGAGGGTTAAAGAGCCCTCCTTCGATTATTAGATTTTCAGATACATGCAAGGTTTATAACTAGATGAACAATACTGAAATCTGAACAAATTCTAGTTGTCACATTACTTACTGTAAACATAGGGCCTTTCAGTGGCCTATCCTTTCAGTAAAATCACTTTTTAAAGTAGAGATCACTTTAGGCATCTGTGGATTACATTCAGTTCTAGATGCATATAATTTCTGATAACGAGCAGTATTTTGCAGTGCAGACTTCATATTGAATGGGATAATGTCACCCAGGAAATGAGGACCTGTGGAGAATGTGAATCATCAGAATATGCAGACACTCATAAAATCACAATTTTTTTTTTTTTTGGGGGGGGAGGGTTGTTCAGTAGAAGTCATCACTATTAACTTGCTTTAAGATTGTATTCATTATTGTAAAAGTTATGATTGTACAACTACATTTTGTTATACGTATGTAAATTCATGGTGATTGGTATAGTAAACTAAGAACAAAAATGAGTTTGGAGTACCATAGCGTTAAACACCCAAATTTCAGGATTTTCAAGTAGGATTATGGCTGGCCTGGAGCATTGTGGAAAATCCTGTTTAGAGTCGGTCAGTTTGTTAACAAGTTGCTCTGAAATTATACATCTACTTTGTGTCAGGCGTGCTGGATGGGATTTATTTTTAAATACAATGGCTGAAAGCTCCTCCAAGACTCAGCAGAAGCCAAAGTTGTTGTGTCGTGTGGGGTGTCAGATGACCTCCTCCCTGCCTCCCCTTCTCCCACAGGGGCCCAGCTGTTACTGCCACAGCAGTCCTCCAAGGTGGGGGCATCCAACATACAGCTTCTTTATACTTCTTGTCTAATCTAGTGTTAGCAAAGTAGAAGGGTCTTACTAGGCTGTCATCAGTTGCGTTCCTCCCACTTTAAGGCAAACTGACCTCTTTGTAGCCATCTGCTTATTAGCAGCAAGCCAATCTTATGAATGTGTAGAAAATGACTTGCTGCTAATACAGTGATAGTGGTGAGTACATTACAACACAGTAACTTCTACGCACATTGCTTAGCACTTCAACAAGAATCATAGAATCGTTTGGGTTGGAAAGGACCTTGAAGATCATCAAGTTCCAACCCCCCTGCCACAGACAGGGACACCTCCCACTAGACCAGGTTGCCCAAGGCCACGTCCAGCCTGGCCTTGAACACCTCCAGGGATGGGGCCTCCACAACCTCTCTGGGCAACCTGTGCCAGTGCCTCACCATCTTCAAAGTGAAAAACTTCTTCCTAGTGTTTAATCTAAACCTGCCGTCTTCCAGTTTATAGCCATTCCCCCTCTGTTGCCACAGTAATGGCAACTGTCCTGGAGAATTCATGACCATTCTATGAACTGCAATTTCAGAGATAAAATAATGAAGTGTTAGTAATAACTGGGAGAACATCAAAATGTTATAACAGCTTTGCAAACGCTGGTTCGCAGCATCAATTAATGACTGTCCTTTGAAATGATCGTTTAATTACATGTGTTTATAGATTGCTTAACTAAAGGTTCCTGTAAATATGATGAAGTGAAATTTTTCAGAAGTTCCAGGTTTACATGTTCTCCACTAACATGTTTACATGTTAAATGACCACTTTAGAAGAATTTGCTTCTAAGATGACTTCCAGAGGAAAATTTAATCATGGAGTGGTTTGGGTTGAGAGGGACCTTGAAGATCATCTAGTTCCAACCCCTCTGCCATGGGCTGGGACACCTCCCACTAGACCAGGTTACTCAAAGCTGCATCCAACCCGGCCTTGAACACTCCCAGGGACGGGGCATCCACAGCCTCTCTGGGCAACCTGTGCCAGTGTCTCACCACCCTTGGAGAAAAGAAACTCTTCCTGATATCTAATCTAAATCTATCCTCTTTCAGTTTAAAACCATTACCCCTCATTCTATCACTGCACTCCCTGATAAAGAGTCTCTCCCTGTCTTTCCTGTAGGCGCCCTTTAGGTACCGGAAGGCCTCAATAAGGTTTCCCTGGAGCCTTCTCTTCTCCAGGCTGAACAGCCCCAACTCTCTCAGCCTGTCCTCACAGCAGGTGTTCTTCAGCCTTCTGATTGTCTTTGCAGCCCCCCTCTGGACCTGCTCCAACAGGTCCACGTCCTTCTTATGTTGGGGTCTCCAGAGCTGAACGCAGTGTAGCACAAAGCAGAGAGCGTATGATGAGGGACGGGAAGTCTTGAGTTCCAATTTTAACACTGCTGTAATGTCACTATTTCTCTGCTCAAATTCTGTATCTAGGAAGTGCTTGTCTCCAGTGGTACAGAAAACTTTGAATATAGTGAGTATTTTACTCCCTATAACAAGGTAGTGATGTGTAAATATCTTTCAGGTTATCTTGAACATGAGGACAAACACATTATGTTGGAATCCCATGGAAGCTTTCGTTTTTACTGCAGCAAATGAAGATTACAAGTAAGTGTGACCTTGCTTTTTTGATAATCCCAATCATGTTATGTTTTTAATCTGTGGTTTTGTGATTTATCATCATGCTAAAGTACGTTTTTAAAAAAACTACCTACATTCTAAATTTGAATCACTTAAGTAATAACCTAGAGAATTATAGGCTCACTGATTTTTTTTAAAAAAAAAAAATTAATTGATAATAGACTACCTCTTCCTCTGTATTTCAGTACCCAGGGGGGAAAAAAAAAAAAGCAATGTAACTTACAAAAAATGCAGCTGAACCAGTGCAAGTGTAACTTGCGGTGGCACCTGGAAAATAAATACTGTTGGTCCAGTCTGAGGCAATATAAGTGTTTATTTTCTTGTCAGCTCTTGTGAAGTTGATATATTGTACTGGTCAGCTATTTTGATGAAAACCTTTCTTAAAAAAAAATAAATTAATCTTTTGTGAAACAGTTCTAGAGACTGCAATACTTATCCTTTCAATGTCTCAGAGCAGTTTTTTTACTTTTGAACAATACTATTCATGTGAACGGCTAATCTGATATTGAAAAAGCTGTCTCTTCAAAACTAGGCCACTGCAAAATGTGTTCCACATCCTTTTTTACAGGAAGTCGGTGATCTATCAATAGATCACTGTTTTCTTCTAGAACACAGGAATTTTATCACTTATTTTAAGGCTGTTTTTCCAAGGAAATGGAATCTGGCCCAGACCGTGAAAGTGGGTGTTGTGTTTAATGTACTGCTTTTCACCTATTTTGGTTATGGTATGGTAGGGCTAACAGGCTATCTAATCTGTTTGTTTATAAATCTCACCCACCCTCACCCCACCCACCCCTGCTAAACTAAAAATGGTAGCTCTTACTGTCAGGGGCAACTGTCCTCTTGCAAACTAAAGTAATTAGTCTAAGTGCAATGGCAAATGCATGTATCAACAACGTCCGTGCAAGTTTTGCCTCGTTATATAGAGTAGTGGTTTTGAATACGATGCTAGCATAGTTTTTCTTGGGGAATTTAGAAGGAAAAAACAATAGTTGCCAGTAAACTATTGAATAAGAGACATTGGATTAATTTCAGTTATGCATTCCTCTGCAGCGAGGAGGGTGAGAAACCTGCTAAATTACCAGTTTTTAATATAGTAGTTCTACTAAATTGTATAACTTAAGCAGGTTTCATTAAATGCTTTGTGAAGCATCTTTGCTTATTGGCCCTAGGCAAATTAATGATCTGCTCAGTTATTATGCCTTGCTATGTGTCAGTGGGCTTATTGATTCAAAGTGAGTACAGGTAGACCTCACCTGAGCTTTGAGGTACTTAAGAACAAACCAACTGTGGTCCAGAAGCTCTATGTTTATTTTTAATGTAATGCTTTTCTACAAGGAGCGTGCTCTGCTGAAGTAGTATCTCCAAGTATTGAAGGACCAAGCTTTGCTTGGACTCCTACGTTCTCTGGGTGACAACCAAATGGGAACTTCACGGAAGACTTGGAATCACTAGGAGTTCCCAGTATGGGAATATCTAGAAACCTCGGCAAATTGATAGGCTTGCTGTAATGATTCAGAGATGCTTGTCCAAGTTCAGGTTATATACTTATAGCTAAAGATGGAGTAAAGGAGGATAGTGTGGTGGTTGGAGAAGTGGGTTTGGTCAGTGACACATCAACAGATGATGAAGGGAATAGTGGAGATCATCTATTCTTTGACAGTGAGCAAGAAACCTAGGTCTGATCCAGTAACTAAAGCCTCTGGTTAATAAACTTTTTTCAAGCCCTAAACAATATATCGTTCTCTCTTTTCCTGTGTTATGAGCAGTTTTAAAGAGTTCCCTCTGCAGTATGGATCTGTCTTTAAGTGCGGCTTATGTGTGATCAAAGTTCAGCAGAAATGTACTATTTACTTAGGAGCTGTTAAAATATTAAGTTGTTGGTGTGTTTCTTTTAAAGCTTATATACTTTTGATATGCGCTTTCTTGAATCACCTGTGAGGGTGCATATGGATCACGTGTCTGCTGTTCTTGATGTGGATTATTCACCAACTGGGAAAGAATTTGTCTCTGCCAGCTTTGATAAGTCTATCCGCATTTTTCCTGTAGACAAAGGTCACAGCAGGTGAGTGACTCTACAGCTTTGTCTCTTGTTGTCATTCATTCCGGTGACCTCCCTAGTCCTCAAAATTTTGAATTCATTCATTAACATCTTCATTGGGGCATTTACTTCCTGTGAATATTGTAATCTTATTCTGTATATAATTTGAGATTGACAGGTCACGTAGTTGACAGATAATTCTGGAGTATGTGTTACAGTAGAACTACTTAATGGATAGCAGTACTTAAGCAGTTTTGAGTTAAAATTACAGTGGATTATTGTTCTTGGGTGTACTTATTTGTATTTTACCAAGATGAATCCCATCTTATTTCCCTCTATATGTATCTTTAATGTTTCTAGGTCACTTTGTACTGTATCTGTCACCACTTAAGTTTGCAGTTTCTTACAGCGTTGTAGCATTTTGTTTTCTAGGGACTGTCTTCATCCTGTATGGGTGATTGCTAAAGATGTTACGTGAAAAACATTGTTGTGTGAATGAAACTGAAGATCAGTTTGGGACACTTTTGCAATCTGTTTCAGAATGCTCATTACCTTTTGTTCACATTTTGTTAACCAGGTTTTGATTCATGTGACAAGGCTTTGAATACAATTCGCTTTGAATTAGTTTTTCATGTAAGATTTCATAAGGCAGTGTATTAAATATTTTGCTGAAGTTCAGATTTGATCTACTGTGTCTCCATTATTATTTTTCTTCAATTTGGTGAGAATTGAAGCAAGTTATCAGATCTCTCTGGTATCATTTGTTCTTCATAAACCTACCTCTGTTACTTTCTGTTGTCAGTTCTTCCTCTTTTTTCTTTATTCTTCACTTTATTTCTAGTTGCCTTCCTCTGTCCAACCTTGGCTCCCCCAAAAGTTGCTGTTAGGTCAAGTTCTAGGTGGTTTAGGGGGTGATAATGTTGAAATATTGATTGGGGGGAGAGTATATTTTTCTTATTGATTGATGCAGTTATGTATGCATTATTCAATGTAACTGTTGGTGTGCTCCTATTCTGCATTAAAGATTAAGAAGGGCTGTTTACATTTTGCTTTTTAACTAATCTACAGGTAGTTTTCATTTTCTTTTCGTCTTGCAATAATATTTTAAATGTAATTAGGTATTGCAGTTCCTTTGGGGGTCTGTTTGTTTTGTTTTTTAATTCTTATATTATTAAGCAGTTCTTGTGCTCTACAGATTTTCCTTTCTGTGAAATAGTTATGTTCACAGAAGTGGTGATATGCAAAGTTAAAGCACATCATTGAGGGGAAGCTTGCAGATGCCATAAGGCAACAGTAAAAGGCTTTATTCCACATTACAGCAGATTTTTGCCAAGGCCTGTGGAAGGAATTTTCCTCTTTGTCCCCGGCTTTTTCCCTTTCTGTGTAGTGGCCATAAATCTAGTGAGGAAGAGCCTTACAAAGGAAGAACTTAGCTTCATATAAGCTGACTAGGGCATTCTGGAACACGTAAAATTCTTTAGAAGCTGGGCTTTTTCAGAGTTGCACAGTTGAAATTAATCCCATGGAATGGAGAAAAGTCACCAAATGGAAGATCTGATCCCACCTGGAAAACTGGGAGGGCAGTTAAGGATGTCTGTAAACAAGGATCCTGACGATACTCCAGTTTTGACTTTTGATCTCCTGCCAATCTGAAAAACTCCTAACTTCCATTGCTTTCTATTTTATTTTAAAATGGAAATTGAAATGAAATTAGGAAATTGATTAGCCATAAGAAATAAGATTTATTATGAAGTTGATTAAATTTAGTAAATTTTTGGTAAATGGAACTGGATGGCTGTGTGAATTTTTTAAATGACAGATCCAGGTTATTTGGCCATGGTTTGTGTTTTTCCTTTCTCTGGGAATGTTATTAAATAACTTATGATGACAGCAACAGGAGAGGCAAAGGCTGAAAATTCAGAGTAAGGAAAGGAAAAGTATTCAGTTCCCCAAAGGTGCGTGAAGAAAAGCTTTGTTATTGAGCCAAATAGTAAAATAAAAATAAGCATAGGAATCCTTGTGAAAATGCGTATGTGGACACATACTATTAAACATCAACATCATTAAAAAGCTGATGTATTAATGTTTTCTGAAGGTACTCATGCTCAGTCTTCCACACAGTTGTTCTAGTAGAGAATCACTTGACTCTGAATTACAAAAGGTGGTTAAGCTTATTAAAGCTTATTTAAGGTAGAGTATTGATTACTTTTGTTTTTCTCACAACCCTTCCAGCTCAACCCTTGTCTAGTTTTTCCATGGCTCTTGAATAGGTGTTATTTCCACATTTCCTTTCCATTACTGCTTCTATTTTACTTGTAAAACTAATGAGGTAGAAGAAAGAGAATAATCTATAAGCTGCACTGCGTGGCTGATACACTGAGGGAGTGGGTATTAGTGGACAATAAGTAGGCCTTACTTATTTTTCACCTTTAGAATGCTAATAAATAATTAAAATTACCAGGAAAGTGTACTTAGTCCTATATTTTTATGGCAGAAATGAAAGAATAACTTTATAAATAATATTGCTCTGCTTGTTTGGTACATAGCTAATGAAAATTAGGTAAGTTTCATTTAAATATTGGTTTAAGCGTAATGTAGAAACCTTTTTCAACAGGTGCCAGCACTTCTTGAGCAGGAGTCTAATTGGCAGGAATTAAATGTAGTTTATGCTTTAATAGCCACACAGCTGTTCTGAATCCTTTTTTACTAGCTGATATTTCTCACTGAGTTCTTGTTTGCAGGACTGAAGACTTTTCTTTGAGTTTTAAGGGTTATAAAATTTTTCCTAGAAGTCCTTTAGACAATGATAAGGAAGTCCATTTTTGGGGAAGGGAGGTAAATCATAATGAGGAGTAGCCAATCCATTGCCATTTTGTAAATGGACAGCTGGAGGTGTTTATTTACTGTTCTTTTTTTTTGTTCATAATGGTGCTCTCAGATTCTTTGGCACCCATTCTTCTGCGGTCCCGTTCTCTAATGCTCAATCAGTGCAACAGCATATTAATGAAAATTATTTCAGGAATGGTATGCATTCATATTGTACACCCATGGCATGTCTTGCAAAAAGTTATTCTTTAGCTATTTACTCTAATTTCTATGAAACCACCTATTTAAAAAGCATCTTATCGTAGGTGGTCCTTAATCAGTCGAACCATCATACTTTATTTGAATTTCTCTCTCTCTAGATTTAAGATCAGCACAGTGTTTTTAAAAAAGTCAGATTAAAAAAAAAAACAAAACAAACAACAAAAAGTAAAAAATATTTTTACTTTGAACAGAATGCTTTCTGATACTGTAGAGGTAATGTTGATGGGAAAAGTGATGGTAGATCATTTAAAAATGTTTTTCTTTGCTTTAGGGAGGTATATCATACAAAGCGAATGCAGCACGTCATCACTGTAAAATGGACTTCAGATAACAAATACATTCTCTGTGGCTCTGATGAGATGAATATTCGTCTGTGGAAAGCTAATGCTTCTGAAAAACTGGGAGTGGTAAGAGTTGGATTGTGCTTTTTGTTATCGCAAGACAGATGTTTGGGGCTTTTTTGATGTTATTACAACTGGTCAGCCTGTTCAGCTTCTAAAAACTTGTTTCTAAAGGGGTGAATGTAAAATGGTAGTTTGATATTTGTATTTAATCTGAAAACTCACATGCACAGTATAGCTCATTATAAATTGCAGTAAATTCAATAATAATAAAATTACATGGCTTCTTATTGCTACACAAGGTGACTTTTTTTGGTCTTGTTTACTGTTAATAATAATCATCAGTTCTAACTAGACTAGAGTTTTTTACCTGGGTGCTACAGGTGAGAATTCATCCCTTTGCACTGGAGAAAAAGCAGTACATTCTGGTTTACCATGCAGAAGTCATTCTACTGAAGCTTAGGGTTACTACTTTTAAAAATTTTGGCTGGAATTCGACTGGTTCGTGTGTAGTTCATACTGTGATCAGCATATGCATTGTAAAAGAGACCATTTGCACCGATGCGTAACTGAGATTGTCATTAACCTATGTAATTCTCAGATATCAAGTACGCAAACTAGTGTAGTGTCTGAAGTCTATTTACTTCAATGTAAGTTGGTTTGGTTGAAGTGTTCCTAGTAGGAACAGACATCAGTCTAATTAGATACATGTCTTTTCAGTTACACTTGTTCAAAAGTTTATGTATAGACAAAGCCAAAACATTCTGTTACAGTTGCCACTTGAATATATTCATCTGCACAGTTGTACTAAAGTATTGGATGACTTTGGAGAATGAATTTGACACTTTGTCCGGTGGGAGTAATCCCTTTATGTAGCTTTGTATTGTTAGGGTATTTTGGAGGTGCTTACATTGCTCTTTCTGAGCCCATCAGCATAGCTGTCAGATAATGCTTGGGGGAATTCCTGCTTGATCTTGTGGAAGATTGAGGGGGTAGGAAAGGGAAGCTGTAATTCAGGGAAAAATATCGTACAGCTAAGAGGATGGATCTATGGCACAGTCATGTCTAGGGCTGCTTGTGATTACCTGAAGCTCCATCAAGTGATAGTATCTCCATAGGAGGGAAGTGAAGCGGAGCCGGGAGAGGTGGCAGGTGAATGGGAGTGGTGGGAGTACTTAGGGCTACAGTGTGGAACGGGGTAATTCATGGGCAGTTGTACACTGTGAAGCACTGGGTATGGAGTAGCACAGCTAAAACTGTATGTATATCTTCAGCCACAGCCCACCATTGGTATTTGGAAGTCCTGTGATTTTTCTCATCTTTGCTACAGAGCTATAGAGAAAAAAAAAAAAAAAGGAACCAATACAAAACACAACTTTGTAGCCTGTACAGTATTTGTGGTTAAAAACTACTATTTAAGTTGAATTTCTTTAATGGAATGACTCTTCTTTTTTTTGAGGATGCTTTTTGTTTGTTTGTTTTTCTATTCTGAACTGATTCTTGAGATTTTCCCATGGAATGCTTCAGTCAAACATTTAAGTATCAGTCCCATGCTTGCTAATTCCAAGGACTGCGCAAAGCTCATTATAGACTTTACTTTTTGATTTAACTTTTATGTTGAATTTGCTTACACAGGGCGGTGTTGGGCAGAAATATTGCCTGTTTTCCTATTGTCATATCCGTATGCTATGGCAATGCCCTTTTCACCTGATTTTATAGTTTTAACTGAAATTTTCTCTTCACTTGCTGTATGCTTAGTGAGAGAGCAAGCTCTCTCACTCTAAGATATTGTTCTGTAACAGAATCGTCTGGTATTTTTGACATGCATTTTTACTCTGTGCTATATGTGTGAAGGACAAGTAGGTAAAAAGAATGTTAAAAATACCATTTTCGTATAGAATGGTTCCTAATATTTTCAGGTGTGAACAGCAAATTCACTCTGACTACTAGGTGGCATTGGCTCCTTTTCTTATGAAAGAGTAAGGATACTTGGCTCTGGCAAGTAATGGGCAAACCCAACTACTCCTGCATAGCAGAAGTACTATTGGCCAAAAGGACGACTTGGTTATCATTTAGATATTCAAAATGTAGAGTGGTAGATGACATTCTGCTGTTTTCTATAGTATTTGCATCAGTGAAAACTGGCCACGGATGGGCCTAAAAAAGGCACTACCAATTATGACTATCGGGTATTGGATGTTGCACATTAATATTCTTGCGTTCTTTGACCTGGCAGTGAATCCTATGTAAAATATGCTGTCCTTTGGGTTTGGGTGTTGGTGGTGGGTTTTTTTTGTTTTTTTTTTTTGTAAGTACATTGTTGATGCTTAACATGCATCTTGGAGGCTGCGCATACGATTCATTTCTGCTGTTGTGGGATCATACAAATATGGCTTTTGTAGCATGCATGTGTGTCAGGGCTTGTAAGCATTTCTGTCAAAGCTCTTTGGCTATCGGCTCCCAAGAGAACTAGGTCACTAGCTATCTATAACACGCAGGTCAAGTGGGGTGTGTTTTCTTATTTGATTTTTTGTTTGTTTGGTTTGGATTTTTTTATTTACTATGAGAAATGAAACTAATCCCAGCATTTGGAATACAAAACTCGTCATGCTATCTTCAAAAAACCATCTTGCGACATCAAAAGATATCTTAAGAAAGCAAAATTATTTAGAAATACAGGAAGAACTTACAAGGGACATAGTGAATTATGTAGAAAAACTGCTCTCATTTCACATGGATGATGCTAAAGAACTTGTAAAGAATTATGTTATAATAAGAAGAGATAATGTTTCACATCCCCATATCTTGTGTGGAAATGCGTTCAAGCATTATGCTGTTGAAGCTTTGAATTTAGGAAAGCACAGAATTTGGATATTAAATTAGTTACTGTCCGAAGCTGCTACAGTTGTTAATTTTTTTTTTTTAGAAGTGCTATGGAATTTTATTTTTCAGATGTTTAGAGAGTAATTGTTGCTAATAGGACTTAAGAGTGGAACCTTTATGGCTTATCATGTTCTTGTATATACCTTGGAAATGTTCCTTGGATTTGGGCAACTGCCAATCCTTGTCTGATCCACCCTGGTAGTTCCTGTGATTCTTAACATTGCAACTGTTAATGGCTATTTAACAGGTTCCACTGTTTTTCTTTAGTACCTGGTCCTTCTTTTTTTAGAGGATTGGTGTTCTTATCTTCATAGACATATGCTTGCTCATTTTATAGATGTCCAGTTCTTCCATAGTCTGTGGCTATTTTTTGAACACTTTGAATATTCAAAGCTGAACATTCAGTAATTCTGTCAGAAGTGTCAGAATAGGTCTTAAATGCTTAGTTGCTTGGTCTGCTATTTTTCTTCGCTGAGAAGATTTGATTGAATGACTCATCCAAAGGTCACTGTATTTCTGATATAATGCTTACATCCTGTAATACATTGTATTTTAAGATGGATCTTTTTGGGGTGGGGGTGGATGGAAATCAGCATCCTGAAAGAGAAAGAAAAATGGTAATCAAACATTTTTTTTTTTCCCTTTGGTGAGTACTTAGTCTTACTTGGTTTTAGCATTGCTGGGTTCCAAGGAAGTACTTACGTTGTGACTGATGAACATTTATCCAGTCAGAAAGTTGTACTTTCTGAACCGTGGCTACCCTAGCAGTCATCAGTTCTGACACGCATGTTTCTTTTGGTTTTTAATGTATTTGGCATCGTACTCATTATCCAAAATCAGTGAAACATTAAAGTAAGAATAAAAGTCTCTGGAGGAGCCAGAGGCATGCTGTGTCTCCACTCCACTGGCAAATAAGTCTGCATGGGTTTTACATAGGGGTAACAAACCCCAAATCTCTGTTGGAGCTGCTGCAGAAGTTGCTTTAAAATAATTTGCAATGTTTAGGTTTTTTAATAAAAGTTGATAAAATAGTAATTATTATTAAATAGGACTTAACCTTGCCTGAGTGAAAAGTCTGGAAAAGCAGCAGTAATAGAGTAGATTTCAGTTAATAGAATAAAATTAATGTAATTAATACAAAGAAAGGGATAGATTTTTTTTTTTAATTGTAGTGAAAGCAAAGAATCATCAGTAAAACTTCAAAAAGCTGTATTGTTCTTCAATCTATTGACACATTATTAAAAAAAAAAAAAATCTACACCTGCAGTTCTTAGTGTAAATGCTTGGTAACATTACTTCTGTGAGTAACAGCTGCAGAATTTGGCTCTGTTACATTTCCAAAGTAGTTGGGAATTAGAGCAGAGCACTGGACAATTGAAAAAGAAAACTTTCTGCTTGGGAATGACTTGTATTTCAGTAAGTGTAAAACTAGTGTCAAGAGTGAGTGAAACAATAGGTTTGCTGCTTTCTTAGGATGCAGAAATAACAGCTTTTGAGTAAGGACTGAAAAAGATGTGCAATTACAAGTCTTGGTTTTGATTAGCAGGAGGGCATCTAAAATGGTCTAAGTAATTGTATATCCTTTCAGTCTGCTTCCAGTATACGGTTCCATTTTGTGAGATAAGGCTGATAACAAGCAGTACCAGATACTGTGTGACGTGGCAGTCTTTTTGTAGTGATTTTGGGTTTGTGATTCAATGCACATGTAACTTCACCCTTTTGCTATGATTTGATGCTCTTAACATCTACATTACCTTTCTTTTTTTGTCATCCATTTAGATATAAAAAAGCTGTAAGTTTGTGGTCCGAGGAAACAATGAGTAATAAAGTTTATGGTAATAAATTTAGAAATGTGTTTTCAGCAAAGCAATGGAAAAAATTAAATAAAGACAAGCTATGGTGTAGAAAACTGCTGGGACACGTTTGCATTCTAAAAATATGTTGCATCAGTGCTCTGTCTGCCCCGACCTAGAAGGGCAACCTGGGCAAGGTAGATAAACAGCCATTTCATATTCTCATGCCGAATTACAAGTCTAATAGTGTGGAGTTTAAAATACTGTACAATACAAATACAGCCCTCTTTAAAAGGAGAATTTTTTTGTTAAAGGTGGTCTTAGCTCTTCAGTCAGGGCTCTGGAAAAATGCTTACCTTCCTTCCGCTTAGATGGGAAAAATAACCAGCCTCTATCATCTGGAGGGAGGAGAGAGAAGCATAAGCAGTTTACTCGAGGACACGTTTTCCTGCTGCTGACAGCTTGGGCTCCCCAGTTCAAGAGGGACAGGGAACTGCTGGAGCGAGTCCAGCGAAGGGCAACCAAGATGACTGAGGGATTGGAGCATCTCCCTTATGAGGAAAGGCTGAGAGAGCTGGGACTCTTTAGCCTGGAGAAGAGAAGGCTGAGGGGAGACCTGATTATTGCTTACAAGTATCTAAAGAGTGGGTTGAGGAGGATGGAGCCAGACTCTTTTCAGTGGTTCCCAGTGACAGGACGAGGGGCAATGGGCACAAGTTGGAACATAGGAAGTTCCGTTCCAACACACGAAAAACTTCTTTAGAGTTAGGGTGACAGAGCACTGGCACAGGCTGCCCAGGGAGGTTGTGGAGTCCCCTTCTCTGGAGATTTTCAAGACCCCCCGGATGCAGTCCTGAGTAATGTGCTCTGGGCAATCCTGCTTTAGCAGGGGAGTTGCACTAGATGATCTCTAGAGGTCCCTTCCAACTCTGAAAATTCTGTGATTTTAGAGTTCTTTTCCGCCCTTTTTCACTCTGGATATTTGCTGTGAAGTACTGCTGTGGTAATGGCACAAATCAGCTGTCTTTCTGCCACATAATTTCTGTTTCCCTGATACAGGAAGTTGCACATTCCCTCTTGAAATGTATGAAAAAAACGGTCATACATCATCTTTGAGCATGTCTTCCACTCGTGATGTCATATAAATCCTAATTTTTTATATTGTAGGGTGTTCTAGTCCCTATAAACAAAATCTCTAATCCTGCTAAATCGTGCTGTGTTTACAGCATCTTCTCCAGCTCAAAGCAGAATGAGAAGTAATGCTGTTCTCTTCAGTTGTTTACATTGACCTTTGTAAAATGACTTGCAAGAGAAAGGTTGGAATTCAGTGCGTTATTGCAGTCTGCTTTCTTAGCTATCTGCTGTCTCTCATAAATAGACAGAAATTTGTCATAACTGCAAAATTCTCTTTTACCATCATGTAGATGAGGGTGCACTTAGCACAGGCTGGTATATGGGGTGTTGGCATGCGGTAGTTGGATGGAAAGTCACCAGCTACGTGCCTTTCTATATTCCACATTACACGTGAAAATGGAATCAGACTCAAACATAACCACCTCTTAAACTGTATTAATTTTTTAAGTAAGATATCCTGGATGTATCTTTAATTTAGAGATTCACCTCTTGTCTGTAGAATCATCAAGGTTATATGAAATCGGCAGCAATTTGCTCTTCTTAAATGAAAGGAAAATCATTGCATTTAATTAAAATAAAACCTCTTTAATTTGGATTATGTTGGCAGTTTTCTGCAGAGTGGGAACACCTGGGATTTATTGAGTGTGAACCAGCTATTCGGGCTGGCACACCAGACGGAATTTCAGCAAAGGTTGGAGGGAGAACAGGGGGAATAGTTTTAGTAGGTTAAGGTTGTAAAAATTACTTAGTTGCAATTTGAGAGGTCATGATGAATGTAAGCAGAAGGCAATGTTTTTTACAAATAAGAAGGTATGGAGAAACAGAGGTCCTGAGTAAGAATTTTCTGAGCAATGAACAACTCTGCATCTGGTACTTGGTTTCTTTTTTGTCCCAAAGGAGAAACTCCTTTGCCATATGTTTTATTAAATACTTGCTTCCAGACCATTAATGGTATTTCAGACCAAAATTATTATTAGTATGATATTTATTTTTTTAGATTTCATGAAATATTCTAACAGAAGTCACTTCTAAAAGTGATCTCCAGAGTGGAGAAGAAATAGCCAATTGCTGATTTCAAAGGGGAAGAAAGCATGTTTCATAATAATGTAGGTAGAACTTCCAAATTTTTGTGTGTGTAATAAAGTTGTTGGTTTTATTACTACTTTTCTTTTTTGTTAGCATCTGAAACTCAGGTTGTGGTTTTTTTCTTGAGAAAGTAAGAAATTAGTGAAACTGAGTAATTTGCAAAGCTGAATAAATAGAAGTTGTCTGAACTATTGTTTTGCTTTTAATACTTTAGGCGCAGGTAGTAGTGGATGAAATAAATGTGGGAGGGCAAAGGACTTGTGCCATTGCTTGTATGAAAATATGAAGGGTTTTAAGATGTCTGAAATACTGGAGTTATAGAGTGTATTTTGGGCGGGAGGGTAGGAAGAAGAGAATAGGATTAGCCTCTGTTAATATTTAATATTAACAGATTTTCTGTTTACATGAAAGCGCACTAGACTGAAATGTAGCTGAAATTCCCAGAGATCCAAGCAAATCCAAAATACGTAGAGACTGATATTCCTTGTGAAGCAGTGCATGCTTTAAACAAAACCACAGTGCGTGCAGATTTTTTTCCTTTTGGTAAATAAGCATTAGGACCAAAGGAAATCTATCTAGTTGAAAAGAAAAATTAAATATCCTCTGTAGGTTAGCTGTCAGGAAACAGCATTTCTCACTTCGTGTTGTTAATGATGGCTCAGGCGTAATTTTAAATATGAATACAGTTAAAGTCTTTTGTGGTAACACTAGTTTACCTGTATTTCATGTGTTTGTGATATTAAGATATTTTTAGCTGCGTGATGAAAGTTGGAACTCCCTGTGTGCTATATAGTCAAGCTAATACTTGAAATCTGATATGTGCGCTGTGCTTCCTAATGGATCAAGGTGCTGGGTAAGATACAGGCCACCTAAAGACCTGTCTGTAAAGCTGTTCATGAAGACAATTCATTTATAGCATTTGTACTTACACTGGTTGGTGATTAAAATGCCTGCAAATCTTTGTTTCACAGCAAAAGTTGTTCAGCAGCAGAGGTTAGAAAAGGAGGCAGACTCTGATCAAAGAGGTTTTACTGTCAGCTATTTCTATTCCTTCTTTCTCTACAGCACATTAAAATCTGATTTTCAGGGAATAAATTCAGTTATTTCACTGAATTTTGAAACTGTGATAATGCTTTGTGTTTAAGCATTGGAGTATTGTTGAAATTGCAGGTTTTTAATACTTTCCTACCCTAATTCTGAAGTTCCTGTGGCTACAGCCATTTGCTAGAATGAAGCAATTTGAATTAAAAATGAAAATTTTGTTTTTGTAGAGAAAATTGTGACAGTTAAATCCCTGTTCTTTTATAACATGCTTCTCTGGTGTTTTCCCTGTAGCTTGCACCACGAGAGAAGGCAGCTATGAATTACAATCAGAAGCTGAAGGAGAAGTTCCAGTATCACCCAAAGATCAGGCGCATTGCTCAACACCGTCACTTGCCTAAAAGTATATTTTGCCAAATCAAGGAGCAACGTATCATGAGAGAAGCTCGTCGGCGAAAGTACGTCTTCCTATTCTGGTTTTGTTTTCTCCTGATCTTAATAAAATGCATCACTGCAGTGCTGTAGCAGCAATGTATGGGAGTGATAGAGCGACAGTGTGTGGGAGGAACACGAATAAGCTGCTTTTAACATCTGAATAAGTGATCATGAACTACTGGATTGATTAAGCTTTGATCATAAGGAAAATGCAGACAAGTGCCAGTAGCAGTGACGACTGTCTGCTTCCCACAAGTTCACTGAAGAAGTGGGAGCAAATACCGTGTTGGAAGGAGCCGCAGTGCTCTGTTAAGAATGACATGATGCAACATTGCAAAGGAAACAGAATGGGCTGGTTTGGGGGTGTGGAGGGTTTGGGGGCTTTTTTGGTGGTGTTTGGGGTTTTTTGGTTTTTTTTTATACCAGACTCCAGGATGAGTGTTTTCTGTTACCTGGATTATTGCCATATTGGAATTTCTAGGAGTAAAAGGTGGCATACTTTGCTGTAGCCATTAAATTAACAGTAAAACCAAAGAGTGGTGGGTGTTAGTCATCTTTCTCAGCTGAAAGATTCTACAAAATTGAGCAGCAAGTGCTGTTGACATGAAAACCAAGTAAGCTGAGCTCCCAAGAAAAGGCTCAATTCAAAACTTTTCTAAATTAGCGAATTTTAAAGTTATTTTTCAAAGGGACAGCTCTCCTCAAAGGAGGAAGTACATGGCCTTTGATTAATAAAAGCAGATCAATTCTTAATATTTTTTTTTTTAATTGTAAGATATCTCTATTAGTAGCTTAAGGAGGAAGTTAGTATTTGTTAAATCTTTATGTTGACTACTGAACTTCATTTTTCTGTTTTTTGTTTCTAGGGAACTGAATCGTCGTAAGCACAGCAAACCAGGATCTGTGCCATTTGTGTCAGAGAGGAAGAAACATATTGTGGCAGTAGTGAAATAATTGTTCTTACATGTACAAAAGTGTCACAATGAAAGCAAATGTCACTATTGAATGAATCCACTGTTAAAAAAAAAAAAAAATAAAATTGATGGACATCGGTGAGACAGCATATGGCTCCAGAAACATGCCTTTTCTTCCAAGTATACACATGCTCTGATTTCTCAAGCCATCGTCTGCTTTGGGCAGTCATACGAATTGGCCCTGTAATCTTTTATTGCCATTTGCATGTCTGATGTTACTGGCCCAATGCTGTGTATTGCAGTGGAGTTTGACCCTTTTGATATAAGCGGATAACTTGGTAGTTGGTGGAGGATATCTGTAGTCCTGATCCTACTCCTTGATACTGTTACTACAAAAGAAGGATGAAAAAGGTTCAGATTTGTCAGAGGCAAAAAAAACTTTGTCCCATGCAGAATTATAAAATCAGTTGTCCTTATGCTGTTTTGGGGTTTTGCTATTTTTTTTTTTTAAATAAATCTAATAAAGTAAACAAGTGACCTTAAGGCAATGGACTAGATTTTGATTATTCCAGCTGACAAATACACTGCATTATACTTATTACAGTACAAGATATTACTTTTCTTTTATCCAAGATGAATTCAATGGGATTCTCAGATATCTGTAAACTTATTAATAGTTTTGTTCTGTCTTCTTAACTATTGTTATATAACTTGACAAAAATTCAGACTGTTGAAGTTGCTAATATTAATAACGACATAGTTGAATAAATATATTTTCTCTAACTTATTTAAAACTTCTAAAATCTGGATGAAAGATGACACAAGTTATGTAAACCCCAGAAACTTCCTTAGGTGACATTTATTATAAGCCTTCTATTTGGAGTTTATATAAAAATAAAAGCTTCACATTTCACAATGTACCTGTAGCTCAAAGTTCTTTTACTATTTGTCTGGAAGATGGTCTGTTTCTCTTCCACTGGGATAGTCTTAGGTTTTTACTGAAGACACTAAGGTGATCAGAAAACTATGCTGGAATTCAACTAGGCCTTCTAGGCTGAAGGCTTCTTTTGCAGAAATATGATATATTTAATAACCATAAGTGTTGCTTAACATCTTGCATACAAAAGGATATTGTTAAGCTGTTGCACTACTGTGCAGTCTGTAACTACATTCCCCCCAAGTTTATGCACAAAAAAATTTATGAACTCAATTAGAATAAACTTTATAGTTAAACAATAAACTTTTTTTTTTTTTAATCTGGAAATTGAGCACTTTGACCACTTGCCTTCATGTAGCATCCTGTTTAATGTGTGTCCACTGACACTAACGTCTATATACATTTCTAGCTTTTACTCTTCCAGCACTGTTTGGGCAAGATTCCTGGATGATCATGGCAAAATTATGGCTGTTTGGTGATAAGAGGCCATAATGTATCTTTTGCTCTCTGGATCACTTACCTTATGGCGTGATGCAGGAAGAGGAGCAGATCTGAAGAGCTCTAAGTAGGATGATGGGAAGCGGTGGAACAGATCAGGGAATAGACTGATGCTGGCTGTGTGCCTGTTGTACTAATACAGTGCACTCTGTGCCAAATACAGTTTATTTCCTTTCTGAAACACTGAGAAAATTGAGGGAGAATGTGCGGTCCAAAGTATGGCTTGTGACACAGCTGTAGTCAAGTCTTGCACAATTTGCAAAACCAGACTAATCTTCTGGAATGTGATTAAAAATTTTCAGCCTTGTCAGTTTAGCTTGAGTTGATGTGGTTGGTTGTTGATTTGTTGAGTCATGATAACCTCTCGTGTGAACAAGTCCTGCTGTGTGGAATTTATTAGCTTTTGGTGCGGAACTCTGGATGTAACTAGAGAGCTTTCAGTTCTGAAGTTAGTTTGGTTACAGTGTGATGTTGGTGTGGATCTCTACAGCATCAGTCATGTCCAAAGGATCTCTTTGTGTTCAAAGACTTTTGTGTGCTATTGCTTTCAGACAAGCATCCAAGTGGAGTAACTCAAAGGATCAATCAGGGTTGGCTAAAAACGCTGCTAGAGAGATTGTAACAGCATGCTGAAAAAAGGAATTTTAAAGTTAGAAGGGTACTCGGAGGGTGTGTATTTGGGTATGAATTCCTTTTCCAAATTCAATGTGTGTGGTCTTGTTCAGAGATCTTAGTCGTGTCATCAAGTGGAGCACCCCCTTAGCATTACAGGAAAAAGTCTCCTTTCCGAAATTAAGTCTTACTATGACTGTTAGAAACATGTTAGTTGTAAACCTGGTGTGGGTGTGGGCTGGGGCTTTCTGGTTGGAAATCAGTCTTTTAGAATTTTGCAGGTGGCGATCGCAATCTGTCTGTTCAGAGGATCCCTGGCCATGTATTTGTGTGGTGTAGGGCTAGCTGCTGTTGATTTGTCCCTTCTGGAAACTCTTACAGTTGGTCTCCAGCACTTTTTGTGGCCATCCACCAAAAATACGTAATGCCACAATACTCAGGGTACGGTTTTTAAACTTATTTATTTAAATATAGTAGTTGCCAAGTGGTAGCTCTGCTTGCAAGAAGTGCGCATCCAAGTCTGTCACAGGCCATCACTGAAATGGTTTAGAAATTACATTAAAGGAGCTGAAGCTCTTAATTATTTTTTTATTTGATGGTTTGTTCTTTTTATTTTCCCTCAGTGACTTGAGAGGTGTAATCAGGCCTCATCTTAATCACCTTAAAGGAGTCACCTAGATTTAGCAAAATCATTATATGCAAAAAGATATGGATCCATGCATCTGCATGTACGCATACCCGAGTGTATGTAGAATAAAACCATTAGCATCACGTAAGATATTGTAAATATGAGGAAAATGTTAATGATTGCCTTCAAAATTTTGGTGTGATTGCAGAGGAAAAAAAAAAAGAAGAAAGAAAGAAAATAAAGGTGATGATGGGCTATTTTCTAAATCAAATGCAGTGCCTACATACCTACTGATTAAAAAAGACCACTTCTGTATGTATTCTTACTCTGGGAAGATATTTAAAGACTGTTTTGAAAGAGAAATAACTTCTGTGATACAGAAACATTTAAATCAGTATTCATAGCCTTGGTGAATTTTAGCTGTTTCATGATAAGGCATCTGTGGAGTCATCAATGCTTTATTCCTGTTTTATCATAGATGGGCTATGTAATGATACAGATATTTGAATAAAATAATTTCTTTTATTCTGTTTATATATTAGATGTCTAAAACAAGCTAAACTGCCACTCAGGTTTCTGAGGTGTATATGGAAATAAGTAAAAGTTCTAGACCAACTAAAAATTCCACAGGAGTGTTTTTGCCAGTGTCCACGTGGGGTTTCTTCACTTTGTTTGTGGCAGCAGAATCCCCTGACCTTTGGGACCAGGGGGGATTTTTCCCCTCCCAATCCAAAGGATCCAAGGCTGCTGTGACGCTGTATCCCCAAGGCCATAACAATACCCCTGCACACACCTGCACGCAGTGTGCACCTACACACAGCACAAACAACAAACCCGTGGCCAGCCACAAATCCACCTGAGAAGAGAGAGCAGTGCCTTCACTGCCACCTGTGTAAACATGGGCTGTGCTTAGGTGTTGCCTCCACCCTCCTTCTTCTCTCCAGTGGGCCAGGACTGATGTTCACCTGCAGTATGGGTCTGGTAGGTGCTGTGAGACAACCCATCTCCCAGCTGTTGGCCTCCAGACCCTCAAGTCCCTCAGCCATGTCCTGGTCCAGTGGCTCGTACTGACTCCTATGACCCCACTCGTGGGCTAGCCCCACTTGAAGGGTGCGAGCACTGACACGTGCACGCAAGGCCAGTTAGAAATAGGGTGTAACGATAGCGTCAGATGGACTGCAGCGATGAAGGGCAAGGCTCATGCACTGAGGTGTCATGAGTAAGCTGTCTACAAGGGACTGCCCCCCTTTATCCTTGGTTTTTCCATGCTTGTTTCTCTCCAGTCTTCCTTAGTCCCTCCCTTTATGTGCCTTTGGTGCTTTCCTTAAACATCCCATAGTAAGTTTTGCACATTGCTGCAATCCCCTTAAAAAATCCCATATTAAATTTTACATGGTCCCCAAATGCTCTCTTCTGTCCCTAAATTCTCGTTTCCCCTGTATCCTGTAAGCAGTCTCATACCCCTTCAGGTAATCCCTGAATTTGCACAGCTTTCTAGGGAGTTTCTGCACTTGTTCTAGTGGGTATTCCACCAGGGACAACGCTCTGAATCACTCCCCTGCAATGATTTCGGGACTAGTGAGTCAGCGTGCTCGCTAATTGTTCTTCTGATCTTCGCCATGGCTTTGTGTTTAATTTGCTTAGCCTTTAGTCAGATAACCTAACATGGTCTGTTACGTGAAAATATCTCTGCTGTGCCTTCGGATCCTAGTTACTGCACCAAGAACGCGGCGGTTGGAGTAGAATTCATCTTGCTTAACCTTAGATGTCTACAGTACGGGCACGGTGAACAGCTTTGGGTACCTCATCTCGCCCCGTACTTGGTGGAGATAAATGGTTATTTTAGGGGACATTTCTCCCATACTTCAGACAGACTATGATTTAAAATTTTGTTTTATTTTATACTTATCATTGTGATATGAAGGGTGGCTGGTTAACTTGTGAATATCTATCTAGGTTTGGACAGAATTGCACACAGAGGTCACTAGGTTTTAGATGAGCAAAACCAGCGACAAGTGAACACCTGGAAGTTTTTGTCTGCTATTCGGCATTGCAAAAGTCTAAAAACTTTTGAAGGGAGATGAATGAGGTTCTGTAACTGAGGACAAAGAAATTTCTGTGGATAATAGCTTGTGGGAAACTTAAAGAGCTCAGTATTATACTAGAGAAAGACGGGAAGGCATTTGAAGAAGAGAGACTTTAATTAGAAGGAAAAGACTGTGATGTGCTCACCTAGGACTTTGGGGCTTTAGAAGGTATGTGAAGAATTCTAGGACAAAATCAAAGATTGTAGCTCAAATAGCACCAACTAAAAACTGCTGAAAGTGTTGTTCCTTACTATATTAAATGAAAAAAGTACACACACTTCCTCGGAGTTGAAGATCATGCTCTTTATACACAGTTTGAAACAAACTTAGGGATTTATTTCCAAAGG